CAATATTACCAGAAAATATATATCACAAAACCGAATATCAAATACCCTACATCACATTGTTACACAACACAATTATTATTATATTTCATGTGCGTATTTATGGGGAAATGGGCGTAAAACGCAACCTACTGTAGTACAAGTTTAATCCTTACATAGAGCAGGATCCAAGAAAAAACGTAGATGGTCAAAAATTTTGTACAGTTCATTTTCGTATAAAGTTACTCTAATATCAATATTATTATATATAAAATTAGTAAATAAATAAATAAAACTATCGCTTAGCGAATGAAGCGAATATATTACGTCGCAGGCTTGGAGAAAAATTCCTATATAGAAATCTGATAAACAATCGGCTGAATGCTAAATGTAATTTGATTTTCATTTAGGAAAATGCTAGGAATCGTCTTAAAATTATTAATTGTTTTCATCAGCCCTTGTTGATGTTAGATGGACTCGAGTGCATTTTTTCATTTTCCCTATAAGTGAAAAAATGAAAGACAAAATTACTGCAAAAATTCTTGGTTCGCGTGAATACGACAAATTTGAACTAAAGACGGTGATATTAAAAAAAAATTCGAATCTCACTATAGTTTGGTTTATTATCCGATAAGGATAGCACCGAATCAAAGTCTAGATAATGGCTATATAAACACAGTTATGATTGAAACTTTTATGATATTAAAATATCTCACGAATACTTGCATACTTTTAGCAAGAACTCAATTTTTTCTATTCTCCTTTACAAGATTTTTTGGCCTTGGCCATGGACCAAGCGACGTATGTATTCCCCAATGTTTCTTTCTTTTTACAAAAAGGTCTCAAACGATTGAACCAAAAATTATCTATTATTAAACAGTGTTTCAAATCATTGGCTTTGATTTGTTCACTGCCGCTCCAAATGAAAACGGCGGCAGCATATGTATTTTACTTAACATCTATCTCTCTCTCTCTCTCTCTCTCTCTCTCTGTTACATATTGATATAATTATTATAATAATTATTTTTATTAATTTAGGCAGAGAATAAATTTATAAGACTAAAATCGTCGTCAGTCGTCTCTTAAAGTACTGAGCATTTTTGAAAGCTTTCGGTTTTATTGAAAAAACTCTACTGCAGTTGAGATTTGAAAACCCACGATCATTGAGTTGTTAGTCAAAAGTCTTTGCCCGATCACTCAGGCGGATTACATCTTGATAATAATTAGTGATAGATTGTTACATTTAAATTTATAATTCTCTCTAATTTTTCGTTCGTCTCATATATATATATATATATATATATATATATATATACATATAGATACATTCATAAACATCATTTAGGAGATATAATCTTTTCGATTAATATTTTACATGTAAAGCAAGCATTTAAACAAGTCTACGTCGTACAAAGGTGAAACTTTCTTTATTGTCTGGCAATCTTGGCCGTACACACACAATGATCTGTATACAAAAATAAAAAAAATATATATTTTCTACTTTTGTGTAAATTATAATTGAAATGCTGGACATGCTTAACAATTGACGCTACTTTCAATTGTCAATTTAAAAATTATTGTTATGGTCATATAAGTGTGTGCGTTTATAATACAACAAATTAATTCGTTTTATGTATTTTTTTAACGGTATTTCAAAGAAATATATTTCATATTTCTTTTATGCAAAATTTATTTAAAAAAAAAAATATTATTAAAAAGGTATTGAAAAGTTTATTATTATTGCGCAAATGCGTAGCAAAGGCCATTGTTCGATATATGCACAAAATATTTAATGACATCCATTGATTAATGTTAAGGTTAAGAGAGGCATTATATTCGATCGCTATAATTATCAAATGACAAAAAAAAACTAAGGTGATATCTAACGAAATTTCACTCTCGAATTACGCGTAGACTTAATACTGATAGCGTTCTTCTCTATACCGTTAGTTAAATTCAGATTGCCATTGATAGATAATAACTGAACGATTAAAAGTTTTTCAAAGACTTACGGAAATCAAAATCCGCGGCAATATTATGGCATTCTTTTTATATAACTGTCCTCAAGTCTTGCGATACTCTTTTTACACTCAATTCTTTTCTTACATGATGTTTTCTTTTTACACGATTCAGTAAGAACAAATATACTTTTTTACACGAATCCAAAATAAAAATATTCTTTTTAATTCTAATTTTGATAGTGTCTCACAGAAACAAAATATAATTTTACTGCGATTACAAGTCGATTGGTTTATGCCCATCACATGTACTAGTGACTTGCTCCGCTATTCTCCATATGAATCGTACGCAAGAATTGTGAACTGTATTATCTACTGATGATAACATTTTTGATCCAATCCGTAATGAAAAGTGCACGCAGACGATTTCTATTCCTGAACTCGTGCGTAGAGTTTAACGTATATCAAAAAATGGAAAGTACACATTTTTTGCCTGCGCCCAAAAGCATGCATACATGATGATTAAAGTTTTTATGAGCCACGTCTTGGGTCTTGGTGAATATCTTTTAAAAGTAACAATGCCTATGTACGGCATTTTCCCGAATCTCTCTCTCTCTCTTTACATACAACGCAGTACAAATATCTAGTATCCGAAAAATATCAACTTGACCTACAGGAAGGAAACATGTCTGAAATTCGAAATTTAGATGGTCTTGTACACATGTAATTAATGCATGGATTTTTTGTTTTTTTTTTGCATTTTAGAAGCATTTCGTCGAGTTATCTTAAGGCGATTCTTTTTAAATTTTTTTTTTATTTAATAAACAGGTTAATGCACGTATGCATACTCTTTGACGCATATTTAATTTATGCAAATATTTACATTTGTTGTTGGTCTTGATGGCAGTCAACACCCTTAAAAGCCGTAGTGAAAAGAATTCATTCGGTGCAGTGTCTTTGCATACACTTAAGCTTTATGCTTTTTTCACGCATATGCATGCATTTACTCTCAAGTGTTAATCTTCAAATAAAAAGCATATAAACAAAACGGTAGGGGGTTTGTTTAAAATCAACGACCCCTTCTTCTTCCGTACACTTACGGTTTTTTTCTTTTTTTTTTTCACATTGTTATTGAGTTTATGCATAAAACTATGACGAAAGGTCTGCTATACGAAGGAAGATGCGATTGGTGAATTGATTTATTTCCGTTTTGTTTAAAAATCTATATATATATATATTTTTTTTTTCCTGTCATCTTGCTATCAACATCATGAATTTCTCTTTGTCGAAAAATGGAAAACCTTTAGATAATCATATCATTGATGTACTATGTAAACAACAGGTGTAAAGATATTCATATATTCCTATAACATTTCAAGTAAGTGGCACTGTAAACGTGTAAAGTTTTACTTAAATCATTATTACTCTGCAAAAGTGATGTATTGATTAATGGACAATATTTTGCCAACATGTATCCAGACTTCCCTCACTTCGATCATAAAATTTTTGGATAAATAACTTTTTTCCCATTATAAATATCACTGATACGACACAGGCATTTAAACAATATATACGCAGCGTAAATCCGATCTAGAAAATCCTCTCCACTTAGATTGTACGACCACTAGAGGCTGATTTATTATGGAAATCAGATGAATTATTTTTTATGTTTCGGACTATAAGACGCACTTTTTGACGTAGAAAATTTGACTTCAATTTTGGGTGCGCCTTATGGTCCGAAGGTAACATTAAATAAATATTTTTTCAATAAATCGTCTCTAACTTTGAGATACGTGAGGTACGCCAAACTTATCGAGATTGCTAGTACGAGTTATGTTAACAATAAATAAAAATTTTGATTCGAAAATATATCTTTCTAAGAAAAGTGTGTGTTATAGTCCGGAAAATACGGTACTTCATTTTAGTTTTCACTTAGTACATGAATACACCATACAATGGATACATGTGCGAGATGAAGAACATCGGAACGAAACCTGTTTGAATTTTACGTATATGCCATATTCATTGACTCAACAATTTAACATGCTCAATCCTGCTTAAGAACGAACGAACGTACATGCTTCATTATGTGTGCCATATATGCCATTTCCACCGCTTCTCTCACTGTAATCAATTCGTTTATCTCATCATAAATGCGTAGGTGTTGTATTTGCATATCGCACACAATTGCTTTAATGAAATCTTTATTTGCAGTCTCTCAAAGCGCTAACACTATGTTCTAATTGATTGAATTAGGTTGAAAAATAAAACAAACAAAAACGAAATAGAAAGAAAAAAGAGTTCAATTAACTTTAACAACAGAGGGTTGCTACTTTATATACACAATTGCACAAGTTTTAAAACAATAATCTTATTGTTTATTACATATTTAGCTTGCTCTTAAAGAGATAAGAGAACGAGGTTATTTAGCAATGATTTAAGAAGTAAGCACACGTATCAGAAAGCCCATATAACAGATATCTCCAAATGATTGACAGAAAAAAGTGAAACTGATGCATTCACTTTTCGCCTAGACGCTAGAGACATAAACTCTGATGAGAAAAAGCAAAAAAAAAAAGAAAAAAGATCTCATACCAACTTTAAATGATATTCTTCTTAAAGAGTTTGATTGTCTTAAAGAAAAAAAAAAAAGAAGAAAATACCACATACCAATCACGAACGGCAGTGTAAGCATCAAATGGAGAATAAGAAACTATATACAATCTGTTGAAAGATCTCAGGAAATAATAATTATCAAACGCAAGGGCAGCAACAACATCAATATATTAATCATATCACCCTCAGTATTGCATTGATTGTAACATATAAAGTGAGGCATAAAAATATTGACACATAAAAAGTAATATCGAAAATCCACTAATGTCAACACACACCCATGTATGAGCAACATACGCATGTATGCGTAAAAATATGTAAATGAACAAGAACTAATGCAACAGTGAGGGAAAAAAGCGACTGAACTACAGCCGCGCCCTTGAAGTAATGCATATTTTACAGTTTTTTTTTTTCTTTTCTAAAGAGAAAATTTACAAAATATCTACTTACGCTTTTTGTTTCTGACATGCTTTTCTTTTTATTGGTAGAAAATTACTATTTAATCCAATATTTTATTTAGTTGTATATATATATATATATAGGATATTTTCCTTTTTTTAATAAAAACAAAAAACGTGTTTGCTTTATGCTTTTAGATTTTGTGGAATAAAGGCAAAAAAAAAAAAAAAAAAAAACGCATACACGTACGTATAAAATATATAACAAAGGGGAAAAAACTTCAATCAAATTGAAAATTCAACAATAACCAGCACTCAATGATGATGACACACACACTGAAGTTGTAATTTTTATTTCTATTTTTCTGTTCTCTCTCCCCCTATTGTTTCCAACGTTTTCTTTAAGGCTTTTTTTCTGATAAATTAATATTTTAAAACACGGAAACAAGTAAAATTGTAGCACAGTTGTCAGGTTTTGAGATTTCCTTTGTTTTAAAATCCATTCAAGCCAAAAACATTTATTCGCAACACCGCCCGCCACACGCGCATCAGTTTCAATTGTTACCATTTATGAAAAAAAACTGACATAAAATATAAATTTGTTGTAATAGATCATTTCTAAAAAAAATATTAGCACATTACCGGCATGTTTATGACACAGAAAAGGTTTTTAAACAGAAATTTGTTAGTGTATTTAATATTAAATTGCTTTCACGCCACAAAAGAACTCATAACACACTAACACGACAAGCCAGTCACGATGGATGCATTTTCTCAACTAGATTTTTCTCCGCAATTATTTGCATAAAAAAATATCGTAAAGTTTTTACACAATTTACGATATGCACTAAATTTCTCTTTATAATGTTGCCATAATCAAGAATACCAAGGAAAGGGAAGTCGACTTACACAGATTTGATGTTTGAATAAAAAGTAAACAACACATATCGCATAAGAGAATACATATGATTGACAGCTTGTGTTAAAATACGCTAAAATCGACAAAATATATCAATATTTAGTTCTCCGCATTAATGTTGAAATATACGCGCTCTGAAAATAAGCTGTACAAAATTGCCTTTTACAAATGACTATATATATATATATATATAGTGATTGTTGCTGCAAATTCTAGTTTCATTTGTGGATTTTATTAAATTACAACACTGTTAAAAAACTAGTATTTTTGCGAAACATTTTGTGTGTGTTTGGTGTTGTAAACCTAGTATCGTGTGTGTTTGATGTTGTAAATTTTAATTTTTGTTTACATTTGCCCTGCACGTGTTATTGTTTACATTTCAAAAATAGAGACCAAATGTACTTTGTTGCTGTAAAAATAGTACCATGTGTATTTTGTTGTTACATTTTTTTTTAGAATTGTTGCTATTTCGTTTCTTTATCATTAATTTTTAAAAACAATGACTATTATTATTATTTTTATTATAAATTGCTAAAATTTTGAATTTCTTTAACTCATTCGAAAGGTATTTGCTTATAGATTCACGTGACATAGGTAAATATCGTTGAAAATTTTCAAACTTGATCATTTTCCCATGGTCAATATATGCAAAATTAACAAATATGGTAAACCTAGTTCTGAAGGGGCGAACTTAAATGTGTTTAGCTTGATAGGTATTTTTATAGAGATTCATTTGGTGTCCACTAAAATGTTTTACGTTTCCTAGTTTGGATGGAGGAGGCTTCCAAGACCAACCATATCTTAATCCTAATTAACAGAGTTCTGTTCGGTCGTTTCTCCCTTCGGAATCTCTGCTAAGGAAGATGGTAGGTGTCTTTGCTAATGACATTGCTCTTTGTCTTTACATCCTTGATGATATAAATAGTTTTGCTAAATTTCAGACCAATAATTTTTACGTAATAGATAAATAGATAGAAATACGAACTTCTGTTACATACATAAGTAATATTACCGTTTTTTATTTATATTATTGTAAACGCATATTGCAAGCGCATCACTGCTTTTTTGACGCTTGGTAGAGTGCAGAATTCAACATTAGTCAATAATAAATATATTACTCATGGTGTGGTGTTTCTTATCATAATAAATGGATGTCCGCCACTTTTATGTGGTGAGTATAAAAAGGTGAATATCATGACGTGTTTAAAATTCAGCAGATTATACGTGTACGTTCTTAATTTTAACTGTACAAAATTTAAGTAAATAAATTTCTACTAGCTTGCTAAGCGTCAAGCGCGCTGTACAAGAAACATTATCTGGTTTCCGAATATGCGGTTACGCTAATAATGCCTTCCTTGCTCTTCTACATGTGAAAGATTTTACTCTTTTAATCTTGTGTGAATTTCATAGGTCTAAATACAAACAAAGGCTTATGAAGAGCTACTTTGAAACCATTTTTATATATTTACATAAATTCATTTCAGTTCTACTGCATAGAGGTAAAATAATACTTGTTAAATGAGACCAAATCATCTAATTTTAGCACACAAAAATTGCTTTGCATTTCACTTAGGTAAAATACGCAAGCGACTAGATTCTAGGCAACTAAGGCTTGCGCCTTCTTATCTAAATAAATTAATAAGTGTTTTAATAACGTAAATATGTAGATATGCCACAAGACATAGTGCGCTCATATGTAAGAATTTTATTACAAAAATGGATAAATTTGAAAAAAAGAAATATGAATAAAACGATCGTCAGGCTTTTGAACCAAAATATCACTCCATAATCTGTCCAAATTTTTCATTAGCGCTTTAAGCGCCAGCAAGAAAATTTAACAGCTGATATGTTGTCTTGTAAAATTTTCTTTATCTATGAAGTAGTAAAAATGCGTTTTACGCAATTTATGTGCCTACGTTTAAATCAAGCTAGTTTTTTAGATATAAAACAACAACAATTCGTTCCTAAACATCAACCTGTCTTGGAAAGAGATGTTAAACGTTTAGAATCCTTTCTGTTAAGTAAGCCAAATATAGTAGTTTTAACAGGTGCTGGCATCTCAACAGAATCAGGTAAGTTCGCTAGTATTTAATAAGAGATTTTTCAAAATGTAAAACGTTATTTGAAAAACAGGTATACCCGATTATCGCTCAGAAGGTGTTGGGTTGTACGCCCGCTCCAACCATAAACCCATACAACATTCAGAATTTCTGCGTTCAAGTGATATTAGGAAACGTTATTGGGCACGTAATTTTGTCGGCTGGCCTCGATTCTCCGCTACAGAGCCTAATAGCACGCACTACGCTTTGGCTCGTTTTGAGCGCGAAGGCCGCATACAGTCTTTAGTGACTCAAAACGTAGATCGTCTTCATACTAAAGCTGGCAGCAAAAATGTTATCGAACTACATGGTTCAGGTTATACGGTGCAGTGTCTATCGTGTAATTATAACATAGGACGGCATGACTTTCAAGCCATCCTTAACAGTCTTAATCCAGAATTTAAAAATGCGCCAAATATGGTAAGGCCAGATGGCGACGTTGAAATACCAGCGGATTACATAAAGAAGTTTCGAATACCTACATGCCCGGAATGCAGGGGTTATCTTAAACCAGAAATTGTATTTTTCGGCGATAACGTGCCCAAAGATCGTCTTGATCGTATCGCCGAAATGATTTATACTAGTGATGGTTTATTAGTCTTAGGCTCCAGTTTATTGGTCTTTTCTGGATATCGTATGGTTTTGCAAACCAAAGACTTAAATTTACCCGTAGCAATTGTAAATATAGGTGAAACACGGGGTGATCATTTAGCTGATATTAAGCTGGCGGCCAAATGTGGCGATGTTGTCCCTAAATTATTTGATTTCAAAAAATAACCATACAAGTGTTTTAAATACTAAAAACTAAATCAAATGTGATATTTAACTGAAATTATTGTTGAAACAAAAAAAAGTTAGTGAAATATTCTTACTTACAATATATTTTAAAATCGAACTCTAAATTGCGTTGACTTTCTGTGACTACTAATGAGATTAGGAGAAAAAAGAGAAAAAAAGCAATATTTAATTATTTTTGAATATTTTCAAATCTACTCAATTCTTTTTCGAAAATTTTGAAACCATATATACGTATTTTTTTATATCTGTATTTGGATTTTATTCTTATCCGATTTACATTAGTTGTATACAAGTTAAGATGATGGATTCCGATTATTCGAATCTTTATCCGCTTGAGTAGCCGAAGGGGAGGCATCTCGACTAGCAAGTCGATTCGAATCTCAAGTGCGGTAGAGTTTGTAATAAATGCCGATAGTCTTAGATGCTAGTGCTTTTAAGAGTTTAGTCTTAGAATTTATTTATGTGGCGAAATTAACAGTAATAATAACAATAATAATAATAATATTCGAATCTTTTTTTTTATTTGTTCTAAAAATTGTTTTTTTGCCTTTGGCAATATTGGCGCTTTAGTACCGCAATTGTTTGCATAAAGCATCAGAAAACAGCTGCTTTTTAGTCATAAGAACTAGAAATAAAAAATCAACGAATTTGCCAACAATTTACGACATTAAATTAAGGAAAATCGATCAATTTTCATGAAAAACTAAAACTAAGGTAAATAGAATAAATAATTGAAAAATGATGAAGCTTGACTATAAAATTGTGCAGTTTGTGAAGAAGTGAATGATTATCTAACACAAACAGCACAAGTAAACGGACAACAAACACATCTATAGAGCTGTAAATTTATTCTGGATTTGTTGTTATCGACAATATAATGACTTTAATATCCGTTGTAGTGAAAGAGAGCAACTTTAAATCAACGGCATAAAATCAATATAGGTATGCAAGTATGTTAGGCGATGCATGCGATGATTTGCGCACATACAAACAAAAAGCTGCAAAATAATAAAACGCAATTTTATTTAAATTTTTTGCTTCTATCTCTTTTTCTAGTTCCTCCAAATTATTGAATTTTATTTGATCGTGTTTGAAATTTGTGCGATCGCCTGGTAGTTTAGGGCTTTAGATTGAGCGTGCGTATGCGAGAGAGATCAATATGTCCGTGCGTTTACTAACAACTCGACTTATTAAACATGGTCGTTATTTGCTTCAAAGCTATTGGAAGCGCGATATACATAGCAACATTTTGGAACAAAAGCAAACACGTCAACGTACTCGTTTACCTACGTTAGCAGCCCAAGTTGGTCAAGTAAGGCAATGCATACATTAGATACGCAACCATTAATTTATTATTCTTTAGAAAGCAGCTGCTAAGCATGCTGTAAATATTCCGGGAGTTAATAGCGGTACTGCCACCGGTCAGTTGGCAGCTAATGTAAATCGCACTACAGGAATACTTCGTTTTGGTCAGCATGCTCGCAAATTGTTTATCGATAACATATTGAATAGGGTTACAACTACCTACTCAGCTGAGTTGCGTAGCCAAGCAACAAAAAAACTATTTTATGGAGATTCTGCTCCTTTCTTTGCTTTAGTTGGCGTCAGCTTGGCTTCCGGTGCCGGTGTTCTAACTAAAGAAGATGAATTAGAGGGCGTGTGCTGGGAAATAAGAGAAGCTGCCAATCGCCTGCAGGCAAATTGGAATTCTGACGAAATCTCCGAAACATTAGATGAGTCTTTTAGCGTTGACAAACTCACTGTTGGTCCAGCTATAGCCAAGGGTTGCGCTGCTGTTGTATATGCAGCAGCTTTGAAAGAGTGTGAGGTTAATACCGAATCTTCCATTAATAATCAATCGTTATCCTCTGCCTTAGAAGGTCGTTCACGTTCAACGCTACAGCAGCAGCAGCAGCCATTTCGTCCCGAGTTTATAACTCCTTTACAAAACATGTCCCGGTTTGTCCATAATTTCGGAGGATCGGTTGACAATTTACAATTATTTAATCAAGCATCGGCAGCGACTGTCTTTGAAGAAACTTTAGCCGTGGCCGAAAAAAATTCCGAGGAATACACAAAATCGAAAGATAACCGCAAATTGTCAAAAGATGTTTCCCCATTTTCGGGTATTGGCAACGGGAATCAATCGCTGGTAAGTAGGAAAAAAAGAGACGAAAATAGAGTAAGTGCAACGCCAACTCTTTGCAGCTTACTGTAAACACTGGCGCAGGGGCTAATTTACAACGTTACCCTTTAGCTTTGAAAATGATGTTTAATTATGACATACAGAGTAACGCTTTAGCTATTTTACGAGCCATGTACAAAGAAACTGTGCCAGCTCGTCAGCGGTACATGCGCGAAGCTGCTGAAACTTGGGAGCAGCACATACAAGATCAAACTCTCTTGTTGCCGGCACATCCAAACATTGTGTGCATGTACGGTTTCTTTTGTGACGAAGTACGACAGCTTCCTGACGGTCATCTATTGTATCCTATAGCTCAACCACAACGTATCAATCCAAATGGTTACGGCCGTAATATGTCACTGTATTTGTTAATGAAACGTTATGATTATAGCTTACGGGCCTTTTTAAATGAGTATAAAGTGTCCACACGAGAGAAACTGTTGCTCTTAGCTCAGCTGTTGGAAGCTGTGGCCCACATTAGTTGCCACGGTATAGCTCATCGTGATTTAAAATCGGATAATATATTGATAGAGCTAAACGAAGAAGATTCTCCTCCGCTACTGGTATTATCAGATTTCGGTTGCTGCTTGGCAGATCGTGTGCATGGCCTGCAAGTGCCATACTCCTCTTTAGACATCGATAAGGGCGGCAATGCTGCTTTAATGGCGCCAGAAATCATCAATAAGCAACCGGGTTCTTTTGCTGTATTAAATTACAGTAAAGCTGACTTATGGGCCTGTGGAGCCATAGCTTATGAAATCTTTGGCTTAAATAATCCCTTCTATTCATCTAGCGGCGGTCTGGCAGCTGCTAAAGGAGAGCAAACATTTTCCCTGCGCAATTCGGACTACAGGGAAGAGGACTTGCCGGCCCTAAGCGATGAATGTCCATTTTTGGTGCAACAATTAATTTACAACATTTTATCACCAAATCCAACGAAACGCGTTAGCCCAGATATTGCGGCAAATATATTGCAATTGTTTTTGTGGGCACCTTCAAAATGGCTCAAATCGGATGGTATGCCTAATAGCCCTGAGGTAAGTTTTCAAATCAATAAACTCGATGAATGCCATAAGCAACGTATATTCGATAGATTTTACAATGGTTGCTGTCCTTGACCACAAAGGTTATGTGTGAGGTAAATTCTGCATCGTCAACTAGTGCAACAACTTATCAAAAAGCAGGCCGACGTACTTATGTCGAATATATATTAATTTGTAATTTCCTAACCAGGGCACGTTTGCGTCGCATACGTGGCGCTTTGAATTGGATACAAAGTATTGTGTAAATAAATTTTATAAAATCGCTGATTTTAGGTGTCGGCTAAACGAGTCAACTACAAGACAAATTGAAATCAAACAACTTTTAAGTTTTTATATCTTAAGAAATGATCCTTCTTCAAATTGTCATGCAGAAGTCATTATGCAAAGAACAACTCGTTTATTTTAACAAAAATGTAAAACAAGTTTTTCTTTATTTTTGCACTTATTATTATTATTATTATTTTTTTTATTTGTAATTTAATATATTTTTATAAATTTATTTACTTATTTATATTAGTAAATTTATTTTTGAAAAATTTTCAAACTTATCTGCATGGATAGTTGAGTAAACATGTCTCTGGAAAAAGTTACGATATTATTAATTTCTATGTAAATTAATTGCACTTACGTATTAATAATAAATAAAATCCAACACTGAGAACACACAAGAATTTTACATCCTTTCGATATATATTGGTATCGGGTAGTCGCCGAAAGCGCGCCAATTTTCCCCTTGTTATACTCACCGCCGAACGCTGAGAGCATTTAGCCAAGACATCAACAAATTCTGAATCGATCTACGTACGCTTATCTGCGCGCCTGGATAAACCAAAATAACCATAGTTATAAGGATTAATATATCGGTAAATAACTATCAACTTACAAAAAGGAAGTTTCATTTCCGGTGGTAGAAAAAAAAAGTACAAAGTTAAAAACCGCCTAGAATTACATTTGAAATTAGTTAGAATGAAAAATAATTTATTGTCATTTACCGCTGATTGCTAATCAAAGACGATCAGAGGCTTGATATATTCGTATAACTAATCCCATCGATCTTTGACGATATGCGATTAAAGATTTTATTACGTTATACCGTGCGTAGTGGAGTATTGAGTATTCTGCGTTTGAGAAATTGTTGCAGCAAACTAAACCTTAGACAACTAACCCCTGATATCATAGATGTTCAGATGAATATTTCGCTGTCAGTTTGTGTGTAATTAAACTTTTTTGTTGCAAATAGGTTGTAAGCATTTTAAAAATATTATTTCAACGATTTTCTTCCATATTCATCATCATTGAGTTTAATTGCCATCTTATTGGCTTAGCTTCTGCTAGCCCACATCGCAAACGTGTTCATTTCGATCATGATATGGTGTTAACGTGAAATATGAGATTGCTTGACGTACACATCATTCATTTAGACGTCATAACAAGAGATGTCATCAAGCAGGCTGTAGATTAAAGCGAAGGCAAAGTAGATTCCTGGACGAATTCATGCCGTAAGACCTTAGAAACAACGATCGATCAAATGTGCTGTGTGATTAACGGACGCTATTAGTGATTATAGATTTAGAATTGTTTTGCAGCTGCCGATCTTTGACTCGTTGCAAAGAGTAATGTAGAATAACATATTCAAATGGAAAATACGAAAGGCTCATATTTGACACGATTAACGGACATAAAAAATTTCAAATTCTTTTGCAAATTTTTAGGCGATATTTTCGTTTTTACTAACGGGACAATGTTAACAACAGACATTGAACAGACGGACAGACGGATATGAAAAAATCGATTTAGAATTTGATGCTGATCATATGAAATATATATATATATATATATGATATATATATACCGCTCATCCTTCGATGATGGGTATAAAAAAGTGTTTGCAAAAGATTGAAGGAAGAATTTTGGGAGGGCTATTAAAAGCTATCTATTCAGTAGCCTCAGCGAGTGTTGAATATTGATAATGAAGAGTATGAAGAGTCGATAATGGAATCACTGCAGGTATGTATTAGTTAACAATTAGAAAGGGTCTATGTAAATCGAGGAAAAGGAATTCAAGATAAATGTGCAAATGAAACAAATTGAGTTAGAAATTTTAAATAAATAAACCGAATAAATTAATCATTTATGCTGGCAATCCTTCCACCCATGACTCATATTCATTTATCTTAAGCTTTAAGCTTTAAGCTTAAGCTTTCAAGATAATCAACAACATCTATAATGACCATAATGAGAATTATTTCGACTTTTAAGAAAATCACCAATATCTATAAGAGTAAACATCCATAACATGTTAGTGCGATATTTATACAGAAGATGTCTCTGCTAATCGAATAGAATAGTTAATGGAATTTATAGCGCGGATTATAAAAGATATAAAAAAATGTTTTTATAATCATGAAAACTATTCGTATTGGACATTTTGGCCAATAACCAACAATTCAATGGATTTAGCCTTTTAGTTTTTTCGTCTTTTTTCCCTCCGTTTGTAAAATTTGATTCGACAATGATGTGCTTAGTGAATTTAATATATTAGTAATAGATACTTTTTCTAACCTGCGACACTTTTGATACAAGGGCATATAAAGACCTTTTTATTTATATTGATCGCTTCTGAAGTGATAAGCTTGTCTATCCATCTGTCCGTTTTGTTATCTTGTGTTCAACCTACAGGTCGCAATTCTTGAGATATTTTCATGAAATTTGATAGACCGACCTGTTTTGTAGTGCACACTACATTATTTCTCTAGAGTATTTCGCTTTTGCAATTCTCTCTTATGCAATGTTCGACAGCTATCGGTTTCAATTGCATATTATTTTATTAACTGAACGATTGAGTTGATCAGGATTAGGATTATTTTTATTTCACGTTTTGCACACAGCTTTAAAAATAATCTACGTTAGCTTGCAAACTGTACGGTACCGGTTTGCGATTTGGTGAACTTACACTTTGTTTAAAAAATCCCTGAGCTCGCACCAAAGACTCAATAAATTATATGCCATAGCGGTAAATTAGAAATTAAATAAGTAAGAAAATTACATTCGGTCGTGACCGAATCTTTTATACCCATCATCGTTTACTTCAAAAAAAAAAAAGAAAAACAAAGTAAAAGAACTAAATTTTTGATACTCTATAATATATGGAATGGATGCGACTGATTTTTTCCTTTTTCTGTGTCACATAGGCTTGTGGGCGTATTGGGCGTTTCCTTGGAAGAATTTGAGTCACTTCGAAATTCCTTCGCAATTTCATAGGTGATATTTTCATTTTAGCTAACGGTAGAATCGTTACCATAAATACTATACAGTTGCGCAGACAAACTGATGGAGAGACGAACACGTTCAGGTGCATTTCAAATTTGATACTGGCCATGAATTTCCATACTTTACGGGATTTTTGAAGTTTGTTTCTGCGCCTTATAAAGAAAGGTATTGAGAAAACAATTAAATTTTGATATACTATAATATTGGGTAGGCGTGGTCAATTTTTTCCTTTTTTTTACACAAATGCTACAGCATCGCCCATAGAATATGTTTTCAAATTTTTGCACGAGAGAAACAGAGGTGTTCTCAGTTTACGTGGTGCTGTGAGCGTGTCCTTCGTTCCGATTCGGCCCATTTTTCAATGCCTCTGGCAAATTTGAATCCGATTGCTTAATTTTCGCGGCCAGGAGAATGTTTACAACAGACATTATACAGACGGACGGATGGATAGATGGACAGACGGACATGTGTAAATCGATTTAAAATTTGATGCTGATGATTAAGAATATATATACTTAATGGGGTTTCTGAAGCTTCCATGAACATGCCGCTCATTCTTCGGTGATGGGTATAAAAATAACAGCGTAAGAGGCAGGACTATTCGACCTGTCACCATATTATGTCAAGCTAAGCTAAGACGAAAAAAATAAATGCTTCCTTCTTTTAATCGACAGCGTAGGGTGAACATGTGAATAAATTTGTCATATTGTTTGTAACATTCAAACGATCATTGAACCCGAACTATTTATACTTCACCAGTGAAGTAATTCATGCGTTCATGATCTACTCTTGACATTTCCAAAATTATGAAGTGTAAAAATTACGATAGATAATCAATTATCGCATCCGGTAGAGGAGCTAAATTTGAAAATGAACATAGTTCGTCTACAATAGATATAAAAATATCGCAAAGAAACGAGAAAAGAACAAGATATGCAAGCCTTATGCGATGCGTTCCATTCGATATATATGTATATGTATATTCCATATATGTGACATACACGCGACCGAAGAACGATCTGCGAGCCGTGCTAAAGAATGTGTGATAATGGCTTGAATACGGCATAAGTCTTATCCAAAAATATAATTTTCTTGATTGTTTTAACGCGTCTACGCTGCTAATCTCTTAAGTGAATTTCGTAATATTTCGATTTGTTAATATTTCTTTCAACACTTTACAACCAAAAGCGTTTTAATAATTTCAACAATTTATGATTTATGTCGTCAAAATAATTTAAAAAAAAAAAAAAAAAAAAAAAAAAAAAATTCAATAGAAATTTTTAATAAATTATGCCCTCGTCAATCCGGCTGATGCGGTCTCATTTTTAAAGAAAACAAAAAGTACAGTTGCAAGCAAAAGTATGCACGCAACTCACCATATGTGGCATCTTAGCATGCAATTATTTACATCTATTAAGGATTGTTCGCATTGTACCGATCGATATAGAATCATTTTGTGAATCGATCTAAGCTTATCCGTCTCTCCGTCCATTGTGTTAAATTCTTGCGTTCAACTTACAGCCACATTCTACATCAAATTTTTATCCTTAAGCTTTACGTCAGCGCTTGTGCATTTTTAGCCTTTAAAGAATCTGCTTTTACACCCTACACCATTTGTGATATAAAAACTTGTGGTCCACTCTTTTATCATATCAATCGATTTAGAAGCACTTTTTGCATCGATTGAAGCATTGCTGTCTGTCCGACTGTCTTGTTTTCTTGAGTTCAATTCACCGATCGTAAAGAATTCGAATCGGGAGCACTGTTTCGCGCACTACCCATCCACTGCATTTTTCTGAAATATCCTTGTATGTGGTGTAGATTGCATAACTGTGAGCCCTGGCCCACTATGATGATTTCTATTTTTCTTTTGGAAAAGAATTTAATTCGAAATGATTGTGTGTGTGTGTGTGTGATGGATGAAAGTGCACTAATTGCAATTTTAACGAGACTCTAAAGGAACGGCCAGCAAACTCGACTCGGGAAAAAGATCAAAATGAATAAATGCAAAAAAACTGATCAAAGAGTAGTACGAGTAATGCATCTTGACGGCTGGATGGATCACCGTAAGCCAAAAGACTGCTAATACTGCCACGATTACCTCTTACTTAATCGTCGTTACTATTGCAGAATCTATTCGCCCCCCTTTCGAAGAGAGTCTTTGAAATTCTTCTTCGCGACCAGATACACTTGTAGTGCTTTTCTACTTTAAAACTACTTTTCGAACAGTTGTCGGAGCGAATACAATTAATGATGGAAATCATGGCAATAGTGGTGTTCGACTAATCTCGGAAACTCTGTTAATATCCGTTAAAATTTTACTGATCTCTACTCGGGTGAGATCTTTATATTTATGCGATTCGTAGGCTTAAGTTTAATAATTTCAATATTTTCATATAAAGATATATTGTTATTGTTATTGTTGTTTTGCGACGTAAAATTTTTCCACTAAAAAACGTTCCGTCTTTGCAATTAAGCCTAATTAATTAGATCATTCCGAATATAATTGTTAAGAAGCAAGGAAATAAAAGCCCTGTTGTGAGGCACGGACTGCCACTAAATAAGACGTCATGTTGAATGTTGAATGGTCGAAAAAGTGAGCCCAATGGAATTGATTGCTAAAGCGTTAAAATATTTTAAAAAATTGTGGCACCGGAAAACAAGGCAGACAGATGGACAGACAGACAGATAGACAGACGCAGTAAAAGGTGTATCTATCTCAAGTCCTTGTATATGTTGCATATATCCGCACAAACTTAATATACCCTTGTAGAGTATAAAAATGTGTAAATAAATACTGCCATGAATTAAAGAAAAATCGTTACTTTCTCCACTTTGTTTTTAGTTAGCTCGCTCGCCTTTGCCTTTCGAATGTTTCTCGTCTTGTTCGTTACCTCATTTCGTTACTTTTACTTACCTAAATGCTGCCTTAAACTGTATTTTACTTAAATATAGTTTAAGGATATCATTGGTGTATGTATGCAAACTTTTATCCTTGACTGTAGGCGCTTAAGTGTAAATTTTACAAATTCTTAAAGGAATTTTTCTCTTTCTTTGCAAATTTTTTTAAGAGAAATTCGTTATTTCCAGTACCATGGCGAACTCTCTTCAAAATTTCCATCGTCAAAACTAGAAAAGGCAAAATTATAATTGATGGCTCACTCGCTGTTCTTAATCCAATCAAAAGATACACTGATACTAGCCGGATTATGGATTTAAGGTCGGCCGTTAACATTAACATTAACATGCAGAGGAATTCTTTGGCATAACATAATTGCATTGCAGTGTTTGTTTTTCCTCCAAGCATATGCACGACCAATGACGGGCCAATAGTCATAAGCGCGAAGACATAGCATAAGCCGCTAAATGCCTCAGTCAGCATTTGCAACTTTTCAAATAATACGAATCTACTTAATCGACATATATATATATATATATATATATTTTTTTTTTTTCTTAATGTATAGTTGTGGGTTTAAGGCGAAGCGAACGGTCACTTTCTTTCCTCGTACTAATAATTTGCTTAGAGAAATTTCGGATTTAAGTTTATCATCCTATGACCGCCCGTAAATCATTTGCTTAGGACAAAAGATTTGCTAAAGACATTTCAGAAACTTTAACCTTAACCGAGTGAACTATCGATACCTATTTGAACACGTATTTAATTCTCTTTGCAATAATACTCTTTTATAAAATTTTGGAAAGGACCATTTTGGAATATTTTGATACTCTTTTGTACTCTCTCTTTTTAGTAACATTTATACTTTTTTTTATGTTAATAATAATGATAATGTAATATTATTTTGTTTATATAAAGGAGGATAACAACAAGCAACAACATTATAGCCGGGTAATGCCGACTAATAAATACCCTACATCACTACGCTTAGTGCTTTGCTAACAATACATCAAATATTACGCATTAGTTTCATGCAAAGACATACTTTTCATGAAAGCCCGTAAATTCGTGGATGCCCAAAACATTATAGGATGTGATCCAAATTTAGCAAACTTAATTTATTTCCCAACAATTGTATTATTTTTTCAATTTCCGCCATAGAAAACTCGAAAATGAGACTTTTTTTTCACATAAGGGCTTGCTTGTCTTGATAACCTATATACGTATATATGTTAGGGTCTTATGAATAAACCTATGTTATACAAATACCCTACTCTTAATTTTGCAGTATAAAATATTAAAAATTTAACCTTATTCCGAAGTTTATTCCGAAGTTATTTATGTTATGTGTGGTCCAAGAAATAGACCCATGTGTTTCAAATTTGGTCCACTTAAGTGTTATGTCAAATTACCATTATGAACAAATTTTTATCATGAAATATTAATAATTTCACTACTTTCCCATATAATGGTATACATTTTCCAAGAATCTCTATATGCGGTGGTATACAAAAAATGGATCTACATAGTCCAAACTCGTTAAATTGATTTCTTTGTCGATTTACTCTTATGAATTAATTTTCCTTATAATATATTGAAAATTCGATTTTTTTATTATGTAAAGATGTAGTTTTCCTAGCAACGTTTATAGGAGAGCGTGTTCAAAATATAGTCTCAGTCGGTAAAAATTTTTCATACTAATTTAAAATTACTCAGCGACTTTTGTCGAGAGATTTTAAAAATGTCAATTTTTTAATGCACAAAGTCGTCGAGAAAGTCCATTGATCTGAGTCATTTTCAATCTCATTTGTCCTTGGGTCAAAGCACTTTGGTATATCCAAACTTCATTTAAAATATTTTAAAAATTTGCGACCTTTACTTGGCCAAACTTTAGATAGACAGACAGGCTTAAATTGGTATAATAAAAAGTTGCATCTATGTTAAGTCCTATCGGGTACCACAAATGGGGTATAGGGTATAATGACAATACAATAAGATTTGTATTTCTAAAAATACATTCTTCCCTCCAAGCCACCAAACCCGCTTAAGTTAGAAAAGTATTTGCATATTGTTGCACAATACCTGTCCGATATTTCTGCATTTAGTAATGCTTTAGAATCTTTTGAATCGAAAAGTTTAATATAGACAGATTTAACAGATTTAAAAGTTCTTTACTATCTATCATCATACTACTGTATATTTACAGTCATTCTTGAGGATAGAGTACAACAGTTGATTAATGTAGACAAGCAAAGAAATCAGATAGAATTTAATGCTGATTATGCTGAATCAAGTTGATGCAGTTGATTAGGTCTATAAAGTGTCCTTTCCGAGTATGGCAAATATTTGCAAAAATCAAATATATCCCTTATGTTTAGCTAATCAAGCTAACATTTGCGTTTTTCCTTCTACAGTCTCTCAACAGTCGCAGTCGGTTCAGTCGCTTAGTTCATTTAGTCAATCGTTCAGTTTGCATTTAGTTTTTGAACGAGAGAGTTGCATAAATTTCTTATTGGATAAGGAAGAGGAAATTATAGAAACAAAAAGGACGAAAAGGATAAAAAACATATTTGAATAAATTCAAATAAAATAAATAAATACAAATATAAAAGAAATTAAATAAATAAATATAAAAAAAATAAATAAATAAATAAATAAAAAAAAATATTAAAAAAAAAAAAAAAAAAAAAAAAAAAAAATTAAATAAAATCAATTTTGTCAATATGAAAATGTATAAATTTTTTATCGCAAAAATTTATGCGAAAGATATGGATATGCGTAAATAAATATATATGTATATATTTTGTGAAAGAAAATTATCGAAAAGTAAAGTACATGGCATATATATGTTTATAGAACGGTTTCTTTTTCCGCTATTTAATTTTCCAATCTAACTACTATTGAAAAGCATAAAAAATAAATAAATAAATAAAATAAAACAGCTTAAGCTTAAGTAAATACGGCCAGTACGTAAATAGCCAGCCAGTATAAATAAATGAAGACAAGAAACGTAATGTAAAATCTATGAAAATGTTGTTCATGTACAAACAGACAGACAGACAGTTTTTAAAATAATCAGTCAGCGCTTTTCATAAATCTTAAAATGCTTCTTCTTGTTTGTTTATGAGATGAATGAAAGCAACGTGTTTCACTTATTTATATTCATGTAGAGGAGGTATAGCTGCGGCATGTAAAAGGTAATAAGCAGTCAGTCAGTCAGTCAGTCAGTCAGTCAGTCAGTCATTTAGAGTGATAGACGTGATATTTCAGTGAAAGCATATTAAAATAAAAATAACAGTTTTTGTATTAATTAAAATTGTTTTTTTTTTTCTGTTTATTTGTTTGTTTGTTTGCTTGTTTTTTTTTTTTTTTTTTTTTTAATGAAACGTAAATTTTGCTTTTTCATTAAAATTTCGTAAGCGCACACGAAAGCATAAAATCAGTTACAGTAATAATATACTTTAATAGGTTAGGAGGAAATAACAATTATTTATTATATATCATATGCACGAACAGATTTAGAAAATGTTTTTTAGGAGATTTTCGAAAATAATGCCGCGAATATGATCATTTTTTTTATATAAGGAAAATAAAAAATTTAAAATTTTATTTTTATTCTTCGCTTGTGAAAAATGAATTTTAATTAATGCAATTCAAATACAAGTAAGAATATTATAGTCGGTCAAGGCCGACCATTAGATACCCTACATCTACACATTCTCTAATACAATACTTATTTTTATTATAGAATAATATATATATATATATATATATATATATCTTGTTTGTCGCGTATGTATTTATGGGGAAGCGGGCCTGACGCAATACAAATTTATTCCTTATATAACGCAAGATCGAAAAATATGTCATAGATGGTCTAAATTTTCGTAGAGTTCATTTTTATATTAAATTAGTAGAATATTATGGGACGATTTCCATGATCACTTGTTAAAATTTCGATTTTTCGGTACTACAAAGGATCAATTTTCGTGAAAATTCTTATTAGGATAGGAGCCAAAAAATACGCCGACGCGATCATCCCAATTAGCTACAGTTAATTTTATTATATTAAAGTACTCTTATGATATAATTTTCAACAAAAAGCATGAAAAATTATATCGTTTTGTCAGATGGACTTCAGTTGCCGTTATATGAGAGCGATTAAGAGCGGTTGCCCCAACCGGTGCAAAGCTTTCATACCAATTGAGAAATTGGCGAAATACTAGTACTTAGCTGCCTTTTGCCAAGAAATTTTAACAATTAAAATCTTTTTCCATATAACGACTATTCAGAATGGGACGTTTTATGGTTAGTGGTATAGTCGAAAAAGTGGACAGATCCAAACCGTTTTCAATAGCGTTCGTTGTTGAGTCAAAACACGTCACTGTACCGAATTTCATCAAAAATTAGCGACCTGTAGCCTGAGCATAAATTCACATGAACGGACATTAGACGGACAGACGAACAGACAGGCTTAGATCAATTCAGATTATGATTCTGAATCGATCGGTATAACAGAAAGTGCGTGAGTCTATTATAAGCCCTTTTGCGTTTTATATACGACCGCAGTAACTTAACCTGTGCCTGTAACTTAGCCTTAACCTGTAACCCGTACGACAAAAGGTGTACGGTATAAAAATGCGATTTTCATAAACTATACGCATATTGAGCATTTCAATGACATCCTGATCACTCGTTAACAGAGAATAGAATTTTAAATTAAATGTCAAAGTTTGTCAATTATTGAGTGAAAGATTTTACAATCGATTGAAAGGGCTTTATAGTTAAAAACGGATTTATAGTTCATATTGGCCAATAGAGAAGATTTGCATAGTTCGGCTACATTTTTCTTCTTCTTTCCGTCCATCCTGTCTTATCAAAGAATAGAATTTTTTTCATCACTTTTTATAACCTACACCAGTTGTGGTACGGATGTATACAAGATGCCGAAGGACTAGCAGGGGATAGACTCAGATCTTAGACCGCCTTTTATTTGAATCAATTTTCTGAATCAATCTAAGCTTATCTGTCCTTCCAGTCAGTCTTGTTTTCTAATATTCAACCTAGAAGTCACAATTTTGCTACACTTATATGTTTCGGCCCAAGGACAAACGCTATTGAAGATGTTTCTAATCGGACCACGTTTATGGATCACTATATATTGCTGTATTTTCGGTCCAAGGATATATGCTATTGAAAATGTTTCTGATCGTACCACTTTTTTAGAGCACTGGGGCCACTAGACCTTATTTTGAATAGTCCATCTATGGGTAACTCAACGGTGTTACAAAATATAAAAATGGTGCGACCAGTAGTGCATCAGTACAGTATTTTTACTTAAGAATAATATGCAAAATAATTCTTTCTATCCGATTTGAATTCTTTCTCAATTCTCGGAACGAAGACTACTTAAAATTGATTGCCTTTACTTAACTTTAGGTTTTATCGAAACTATATATTTTTTGAGCGAACCCACGCAATTCTCATGGCATTATTTTCTGATGAGGCTCGTAGAAATTTTCAACTTTACGTCAACTTTAAAACATTTATGATCGAATCTACAAAAAAATTCTTTTTCCATTTTCTTTTCTATTTGCTTCGCTAAATATTGAATAATATTTTAATATTT